AGTTGAAAATGCAATAACAAACTCAACTTTACTTATATATGAAGTAATATAACTTCTAAGGGAGATTTTATAACCGACAATCACCACTATGAGCCTAAGTGGTGATAAAATGTCTTGCCCACGCTACCAGAACTGTCTATACTTTGTTGATGCATAGAACTCCTCAACTTAGTGAATTCACTAGCTTAACTTACGTGTTCATCTAAAAAGTATGACTCGTTAATACCCATGATGGTTACATGGCTTTCATGGAGACTTGAGTTAATATGAACTCTCATTCCAACATCGGTGCTCAATACTACTCTTAAAATATATTTTACCTCATGTTTTTAAAAACAACTTTCTTCTTTGGATAGAGATAATTGCTCTAACATTTTTAGCTTTGATTTAAAAAGCTCTCTTAGAATCAATGTTCTCTTTTCTTGTTCAAAACTCTTTTGGAAAGTCTTATTTTCCTCTTAACTTAAATGTGAAAACATTTATAAACTTTTAAGGAATACTTAGTTCCCTTAAAACTTTTGAGAAATGAACTCAACACTTTACTCTTTACTCTTTGCTTAACTTGAAAATTGAATCTTAAATCAACTCTTAAGGAATACCTAGTTCCCTTATATTTCTTGAAGGAAAGACTTCAATTTTTTACTCTTTACTTTAACTTAAAACATGAGCCTTAAAACGAAGTTAAAACGTTTAATAAAAACTCTTGAAAACCTTTAAGGACTTTGCTTTGGACTAACTTCTTAACTTTAGATTTGACTCTTAACTCCTTTGGCTTTGATGTTAATTTTTGTTGAATTGGATTATGGATTCAAGGTTATGATTCGTGTTCTTTGGTGATTTCTAGGTGTTTAGAAATCATTTGAAGTAATTAAAATCACTGCAAGATGTTAATATACCTTAGAAGGACTTAAAAAGGCTAAACTATGAAAACTAAGCGGAAAATGTTGATTTAGGTGCGTTCGGTTCACGCCACGCCAGACCATTTGGTCTGAGGCACCTTTTTGGCGCGCCACCCCAGGCCTTCTGGCGCAGATGGGGTGTGCCACGCCTATTGCTTCCCAGATGCATCTAAACGGTTTTCTTCTCTCGTTTTCTGATCCTAAATCGCCTAAACCTCCATAGTTCTTTATCCAAACCCTTAGGATCATTAATACCTCCAATACCTAATAAATCTAACTTAGAAAACAACTCGGGAATTATGATACAACATCAATGGGCATTCAAACAACTCAACCAATAGTGATTCGACAAGATTCATCAAGAATTCACTTAATTCTAAATCATGTAAACAATTCTAAAACCACTGAATTGAAACAAGTTTGGTGAGTGGATGAATTATCCCAACATGAAAGATTTCACATACCTTGATAGAGATCACCCCCGACAAATTCCACTCGCAATTCCTTGGCGTTCTAGGTGAATCCTTGATCTTTCTCCCTTTCCTTATTCTCTTCTCTCTTCTCCAAGCCCTATGCGTAAAGTTAAACTTTCTAATCTGACCAAAATTGGTTTTTACCCCAAATAAATCCCTAAAACGAAATATGAAATTAATTGGTGAAAAGACTAGTTTGCCCTTCCTTAAATCCGAATTAAAACCTTCCTCGATCCCACAACCCTACTTCCGATAGGCATATCTCCCTCATACGATATCGAAAATGCGACGCTGGAAAGATTTCTCCAAGGGCTTTCCAACCATATAAAGAACTACCTCTAACTCATCCTGAGCTAGGAGTTATCGCCATTGAAAATGATCAAAACTCATTTTCTTAACTTAGGATATTTTCCAAATTTTTACCTTTATTTCCAAAAGTGATTATTTTTAGTTTCTTAGCTTATTCTTGGGTATTTCGAGTTATGAGATGTTACACAAACTACAATCTCAAGGAGCTTTGCAGAAGCAAAATACAGGAGTATGGATGCCACAGTATCAGAGTTAATATGGCTTATAGGATTGCTAAAAGAGTTGGGTGTGAACATGAAGCTTATACAATCACAGCTAACCAAATCTATCACGAAAGAACCAAACACATTGAAATAGATTGTCACTTTTAAGAGAGAGAAAAATAGACAAAGGACTAGTGGCAACAAGGTACATATCAAGAAGAGATCAACCAGTTGATTTACTTACCAAAGGCCTCAATTCTGTACAACATTTATATCTCAATTTCAAGCTAGGAACTTGTAATATTTTCCCATTACCTAGCTTGACAGAGGAGTGTCGAATGAAGTTCTATAGACTAGAAGGATAAAATAGTAATATCACTAGCTAGTTAGTCATTTTAATGGTTAAGCTAGTTATAACTTGACATGAGTTTAAGAAAGGATGCATTCGTTTTGAAACCAGACTATAATAGGTAGTAAAACAAACAAATTGAAACAGAGTGAGTACAAAATTCATCAGCATATGACTTGAATCAGAATCAGCTAAAGTTTACTGGAAGATCCACAGATATAGGCCATCAAACATTCACAACTAGATTTTCAATGCTAGTATTTTAACTGTTGTAGTCATCATACATGTACATCAAACAGATAAATGAACAATAAGTTCTGAAAGGGAAGTGTAAAGAAGCAGGGGGACGCGCAGAATATATGGATCATCATTTGTTATTGTGTTTGTCTTTGAAAGAATCGAGTTACACGTGTAACAATACAAAAGAATACAGAGAAACTGCACAAGTATATGACTAGTATAACTATCCTTTTGATGTCTATACAAATCTTGACATCAGTGATCTGCCCCTAAAAGTTCAGTATATCAGGTCCATGCCAAAGTGAGAAGCACAAGGCACTAGTGCTGCAGCAGTCCCATAATGACCAAACTCAAAGCTGTTCTGTGCTCTTGGTGGTGCAAGTGAAGTGCAGCAAGCCTCACACACAAACAATGGTGGCACAACCTCAGAATCTTCTATGCCACAGCAGCGAGTATGCTGCCATATCTCACATATATCACATGAAACCATCCTTTCACCATCATCATCCCGAGCACCACACCTACAGTTCACTGTCCAGTTATCAGACCCTCCTTCATTTTTCAACTCGCTGTCCAAATCCAACCCGAAGCCCCTCACCCAAAGTTCTGAGCCAGACTGGACGATGCCAAAGAGCACTTCATAATCTTCCAGTTGTTCCATCCCTACAATATCTGTTATCATCAAATTGTCCATAATGCAATAAGTGTCCCTCATTGCAGACTCAACTGCTATCTTTAGATCACCAATTGTTGAGTGTAGCGGAACTTCAACCACCTCTCCTGGGGGATATCCCTTTGTAAATACAGCTTCCAAACCATTAGAATTAGGCAAAATGCAACAAATGAACCTCAACAAGCTGTCATTTGGATCATCACTAAATGGCCATTCCTTCAAAAATTGCTTACTGTCCAATACTATCCTAACAGCCAGGCTTAACTCATCAGATTCCGCGAAGCTCAAAAGAAGATTATTATACAAGCACAGAACATCAGTGTACGCATCAGCTCCAGGATTAACATTGTAGTCCTGAAATGGCTCGGGGAGCTTTTCTTGTTCAGGCTGATCACAATTCCGAAGTTCCTGAATCGTGTACTCCAACACCCTCGTGGCTCGGTTCACTGCACGACGAACTACATAGCCTCCAATAATCACATTGTTCATTGATTTCAGCACGTAGTCAATCAATCCTGTATCGCCAATGTGGAGACGAGCAGCATCCCTCGCCTCTTGCCTACTCATCCCACAACTTCCAAATCTGATTGCTTCTCTTTTTTCTCTCAACGCCTCAACAATCACATCTGCAGTGAACTCAAGTCTCCTCACTGGCCATCTACTGTCAAGAGATGCTGCAACGTTTGAAAACTTTCTATACCTCACTGATTTTTCCTTCCCCACAGACTTGTTTGGTGCAGCATTTCTTATCAAGTATCGTGCAGAACATGCTCGTAAAACAGGAGCAGTAACATTTGGCTTCTCCTTAACTGAATTGCAGGACTTGACAACAAGGATGAACCTGAAGAGGTCACGGACCGTGATCAAAGGAGTGTTGCTCAAACCTCTATAACAAGCAATCACCTGCTTCATAACATTGGATCTACTGATGTATCTGAAATCATCAATCACCTGATCAAGCTCAATTGAGCTTAACATTTCAATAGCTTTTTCATAGTGGTGTTCCATTATCCCAAAACTTCCATGGCTAAACTTGTAACCCCACCGGCCAAACCATGTATGCCCATAAGCAACCCCATACAACAAGCGCAAATCCATCATATGCTTCCTGGATACATCTTCAACAGTGATTTTCCTGTCAAGAGAAACAGATGAACATATTTGAAGAACTGAACTAATACACTCAAAACAGAATCAGACATCTTAAAATCATAGAGAAATGTTCATTACCGAGCTCGAAAACTCGTGCAAATACGTTCCCAGAGATCCATTACTTCACGTCCACAGAGATATTTCGATCCACCCTCAATTCCATTAAGTGAAATCAAATGCCCAAATCCATTAGAATGAATCAAACCATGCAAAATGTGTGTTTGATCATCAAAAACACCATCATCAAGATGCTTTTTCCATTCACTATCAGCTGGTATAATCAAATGGTATTTCCTCTTCGAAACAAGATGATGACTCCAACCTGAAAACCAAAATTTCACAGATTCCTTAAACCCATAAACCCCAAAACTCAAAAATCCCAAAAAACCAATAAATTCACAAAACACATAAACCCCAAAACTCAAAAATCTCAAAAGAACCGACAAATCCCCAAAACCCATTAACCCCAAAAATTCAAAAGAACCACTAAATCTCCAAAACCCAACTTCAAAAATCGACAGAACAACCAAAAGGGTATTCGAGTTCAACACTTACCAGCACATCTACAGTGATCACAGAAAGTTCTAACAGAGCTCTTCACATTCTCTTCAATGGTGTAAAGAGGAATCAGCACACCTTTACTCTTATGCACCAAAAACGTACACCAAATTGGCATTCCTTCAACTGTATACTCCTTAACCTCAGCACATTCCTGAAGAAAATACCGAATATTATCACGAAACGGACCCATTGGCGTAATCGGACATCCCGGATCAAGAAAACTATGAAACTCATAGATATTCGACACTCCCTTCTTCATCTTCTCTGTAGCCATTTTCATATTTAGCTCTTCAAAAAAATCGAAAAAACTCTGAGATTTTTAACAGATTTTAGGAAGTTGGAGTTTGTTACTGAAGAAGAAGAAGAAGAAGCTTTTCAAACGGTTGAAGTTTCAGTTTCTTCGCGGCTAGAGAATGTTAAATGACGAGAATACCCTTTGGGCTTTATAGGAATTTTGAAATTTTGAAATGAGAAATGGACGGTAGTGATGATTGATGAGAGACTAGAGACATTTCTGGCCGTTGATTTATTCTTCAGTCAAAGAGTTTGACTTTTGAGAAGTGGAGACTCGAAACAGATTAACATAATTCTTTTGCTTACGTGGAATAAAATGAAAGAGATATTACTTTTTTTTCGAGAGTGTTCGATACAAAGAAAAATAATTTTTAAGGATTTTTATTTGTCGTAAGCAAAACATATTCATATAGAATCTAGGAAAAAAGGTCTGATATATCCTCAACTTTGTCATTTAGAACTCATATACCCCTTGTTATGAAAGTTACCACTACTTGTAAACAAATGGCTCACAAATACCCTTTTCCTCTAACGTAAATGGAAAAAATAATAATTTTAATCTAATTTTTTATTATTTTTTGTCTAAAAAATATAATCCCATATGAGTAAATTTAATCCTCGTCAAACATATTTTTTTTGACTTTTTTTTGTTTCAATGACTAATTTATAATTATTATTTTGATAATCAAATTTATTTATGTTCTTGTAAAACTTATTGTAGATGACCAAATTTTTTCTTCGAATACGAAATTAAATTATAATATACACAAAAAAATAGTTTAAATTTTTTCTCTTTAAACTAAGGAATGAAAGAAAAAACATAAGAATAAGAAACTCAAATAATTATAATAAAAAAGTCAAAAAATAATTTATATATGAAAAAAATTAAAATATACCTTGAACTTTGATAGAAGAATCATATATATCCCTAAATAATTTTTAAAAAAAAATTACAAGTAACAAATATTAATTTAAAACTAATTTTTTAACTTCCGTTAAATGAAGGGTATATATGAGTCATTTTGTAACGGGAGGGGTATATGTGAGCCGTTTGTATAACGGTAAGGGCATATATGAGCTACTTTTATAACGGGAGTATATTAGCTCCAAATGACAAAGTTGAGAGGTATATCAGACCCTTTTCACTAGAATCTAAACAAATACAAGAAAGGGTGGGTCGTGGTAAAGGTGTGGGGATCGGAGCTTCTATATATGTTAGGTTTTGGGTAAAGATAAACCGCGTTAGAGGACATGGGAGAGCCTATATTTTTATAGATACTTCTATTAGGGAAGTTATTTTTTTCACTATTTATCTTTTAAAAAATTCGACCAACCAAATTAACCATGGAAAATTGAAAAAATATGTTCTGTTTTTTTAATTTTGCGATAGGGTGTATTAGATATAAAGAAAAATATTTTTTTGATTTTATTTAACGTAAGCAAAAAATACTTGTATAGACTCTAAGCAATTAAACATGAGAAAATTGAAAAAAACATGTTCCTTCCTATTTGAACACACCCTTAATAATACTCTCTCCGTCTCTTTTTACTTGTCTACTTTTAAATTGGCACATCTACTAAGAAAATAATTAATGACGTAGTGAGTTTACCATTTTACCCCTATTAATTATGAAGTGGATGAAAAGTTCTACATTATTCAAAAGAATTAGTCATTTTACTAAGAGTATAATAGGTAAAAAAATTAGAAAAATTATCTTTTCTTGATTTGTCAAAATGAACAAGTAATTAATGACAATAATAAAAGAAAAAATAAGCAAAAAAGTATATTGTTAAAAGAAAGTATCATAGGTCTCTAATTGATTGTTTAAGGGCTTTTAAAAGGCTCCTAATTAATGAACTTTAATTAAATGAATGTTTAGTATCAAATCTTTTAAGGTTAATAGTCAAAAAAAATTGTCATGGTGTAAAATTTATTAAAGGTTTATCCATATCATAAAGAATATTAGAAATTCAAGGTGTTATTCTAATAAATCACACATAAAATTCTAAATTTTGTTATGACTAAGTTGATTTTTTTCCCATGCTATGCCTTAATTGTTATAGACAAAATTATTTATATTTATTGCTGACGAAAGATAATGTATATATTATAAAATTAATTGTGATACAATTGACTTTATTTAACACAATGCTTATACATACATATATATATATATATATATATATATATATATAAGAGAACTAAAAAAGTAAAAAATTTAAATTATGATTTTACCCTTATTATAAATGAAAATGTTATAAAAATATTTAGCTATTTAATTTAAATATGAAGTTACATTATTTTAATAGAAATGTTAATGACTTTTGCACTTCTTTAGAATAATTCTTAATTAAAATATCTAATTTAATTTATTTTTTTGAAATATTTACCCTTTAAATAGATACATGTATATGGTTTATCTTCTAAATTAATTTATGTTCTTAATTAATATTTGTCTTTAATTTTTGTAACACTTGACCTTTCAACTTTGTAAGTGAATCTTCATATTCCAAAGCTATATTTTTTCCTATAAATATAATCTTTTAACATTTTTTATAGAAAGATTTATATGTGATACAATTTTTGTGTGTGGAAGACTAGAGAAGTTTTAATCAGGTGAAGAAAATTTCAAGGCAAGAGGATTTGTGTCAAGATTACAAGGCATAATGTGATTATGGGAATGAATGTTAATTACTAAAATATGAAGCTTGATGTATTTGTGTTTTTTTTTACTTATTTGTCGAGATCATAACTATGGTAAGACCCCTCCATTTATGTAGTTGAATATCACTTCCATTAACTTGTCTTCCAAATATTTTAATTTTTTATGGTCAAAAGTTGAATGTTTATTACTATAACTTTGTTTCAATTTGCATTATCAAGAAAAAACAGGAAAAAAATTGTCTTAGAATTTTTCTATTTTTCGTTGGTTGCGTTATGCTAAACTTGCTCCTATATATGATACTTTTTCTGTATTTGTAATTTTGTATTAAGAATATATTTGATTGAAGGGTATATTTTTTGCAAACAATGAGACAAATACAATCATAAAGATAGTGTATACGACATGCAAAACAATTAATGCCTACAAGATATTCTAATTTCAAATTATTAATAATTATATTTTTGTATCTTAAATTTTAAATATTTGTAAAGAATCATTTTTACATGTGTTTGTGGATAAAATTTATAGTTTTTCGCCAATTTTTATTAAAATTATCATGAGATCCAAATTCCAAAGTCAAAAAAATGATACACCAAAATGCTTAAGAAGTTAGAAGATCTTTTATCCTTTGACCAAATATTGCTCCTATTAATTTTTTAACAAAAAAATGTAAAATATATTCTAACAAACTTTTAATTGTAAGAATACTAATATTGTCATTTTGACTCTCCATTAAATTAAAATCTGATTTATTTAATTAAATATTAATATTTTATTTGTATAAATACATATTTAAATACCAATCATTGCACTTTAAATCTTAGTTATTTCCTTCTAATAAGTTTTTTATTTATAAATTTGATTTACTTAATTGCATTCTACTTAATGAGAAGGAGAATTTCATCTTTTACTTATTAATGTCAAACATTTTATCTTCTTGAAATATACAAATATTAATTTAATTTTAACATTTTTATGAGACAAAAAAGACATTTTATGAAAGTTAATCATAAGATAGCGTGCCTTCATTTTTGTTTTTGCCACTTTATTTTATCTTTTAAAACAAATATATAATTTCTATATCAAAATTATAATAAAGGGAGGACTAAATGTAAAAAAAAAATGCTTCAAGTTAACTATACATTACAAACATTTTTTTAAAAGTTAAATTGTTTATCATTTTATTCATCGTTATAAAGTAAACGTATATATATATTAAAAAGACAATTTTTTAATATCTTTTTACTGTATTTTACCAAACTTTTCTAGTAGGATGTCACTAATTTCCTATACATATTTTACCATTAATTCATTTATCATTTTCGTCATTATTGTACCTTTTAATTAAATAAACTTAGTTCAATCATAGATTTCACTATCATATTATTGTGCAATTTAATTTTCAATACTAAATTAATTCGGGACTTTAATCGGTACTAAAAGCGCGATACATTAGCAAAATCAATTCATATATTATGCGTACACAAAACTTAAGTGATATTTAAGTGGAAATATATGATTGATCTATTATTTATCGAGTTTCGTATCATGTATCACTATCTCCAAACATGATTTGTTTCTAAATTTAAATACGTATGATCACAAGTTAAAATTCCGTAAAAGACGAAAAATTAATATTTAAGTAGATTTATCATATAGGGGCGAATTTTCAACTCATCAAATTTCGAACGATAAACATGTATCAAAGTTAAGCACACATCATCCACTAGTTCAAAATTATGCCACAAACGAAATCTTAAATTTTGATATTATTATTAATTATTTATCGAGTTCTAAACCATGTAAATGATAATTTTTCAATAATAAAAAAAATCCAAGTAAATTTTTCAGACATAAGGGGTCAATAAAGTTGGCTAAATTTTTTTGGTCTTCCAAAAAGACAAACTAAAAGATAAAATGACTAGATATTCTTATTATTTTATTTCAAGATCATAGGTCCCACCATTTTTCAACTAAAAATTCACCACTTTAAATTCCCTCTATTATATAATAATCCCACTTCTAATTATTTTCTTCATACAAAATTATGAATTTACAAGATATTGCAGCTATTCTTTGTTTAATTCTAATATTTGGATTTGTTCTAAACACCCTTTATAATGTTGTATGTGATGATGATAGTGAAAGTTCCAAATTAATTAAAGATGTGAAGGAGAGAATGAAGCAATTTCTGGTAATTTAGAAGCTCAAAAACATGATTTTCGACGTGCTTAGTAGGCGTTTCGACATGATTTGATTGAAGTTTGTAAAAAATAATATTTTAGAGTCGAAGTTGAAAAAGGATATTTGAAAGTTATGCGAACACAAATGTACTTGAAGGTAAGAAATTATGTTATTTAGTAAATTAGTAGTTAAATTGTGAAAGTCTGAATTCAATAGATCATTTCTCGAGTTTGATCAACTAAAAAATAATGATTGAACTTTAATTATCCACTCAAAAATTGATCATCCACTTAATTTATACATTTTGAACCTAGATTTATCGTTAAAAGAACACAATGATTTTGATTGAATATTACATATTATAAACTTCAAATCTTAAATGTGTCTCTGACTATCATCATTACTCTACATTTGTTACTCGATTCTTCATGAGACGCAACACGAGAGCTACCCTATGTCATTTTCATACTCATCAAGCCGAACTATCAACTATGATATTGTTTATTTATCGGATTTAAGTCAGCCCAAAGTATACACCTTACCCCTATCTCGAGGAGGGTGGAGTTCACGCTGACCTTACCTTTACCTCGAGAAGGTAGATAGCCCTGACATCAAACATAAAAAAATTAATGTTGAAAAGTACTTCCTATGCATCACATTCCATAAATCATTCATGAGCAAAATATAATGACAATATTGTTACAAAACAAACTAATCAAAATATCCATCTAGCAATGCTCATGTTTTGGAACAGACATTAAGGAAAGGCAAAACACAGCTCTAGTGTGTGTAAAATTTCATAAGCAGATACTAATGTTATAACAGAACAAACTAATCAAAGCATCCTTCCAGAAATGCTAAATGTTCCAAAACAGAAACAGGTTTTCGCACGTCTCTTTACCTTGTTACAACAAGGGAAAACACAGTGTTAAACAACTCCATCCCTTGTTACAACAAGGGAAAACACAGTGTTAAACAACTCCATCGACATCTGTTTCTAGCCTATTCAGTTCTAACTTTCCATAATACTCCAGGTTTATTTCTGCTTCGGGTGATGCACGATGAAATTTTACTAGCTCAGTAAGAATTTCTGATCCTGTGTCAATAATAATACCAGGATCGATGTACATTTTCACCAATACTGGAGACTTGGCTAACAAAACCTTGATAAGCTGCATCTCAGGCGTTGTTCCACTAAAGCCTATTATCTGAACTTCCCTGAGGTGATTAAATGTGACATCTGAGAAATGTTCGAGTTCAAGGGATTCTTGAATACCACTATCAGCTTCATCGTAAACCTAAAAAGATAACGAGAAGGTCAATTATCAGATTATTGAGGATTCTAAGAAGTATGAATAAAAACCAGCAAAAAGGAACGAAAGAAAGAAAGAAAAGAATACCAGCCGCCTGCTAAGAACCTCTAATTTGAGATATTCTAAATGTGGGAAGCTACGTATCAAGCAGAGAGCACATGAGCGAGTATATGATTCCTTCAGCTCAACATGAGACAGGTTAAGATGTTTGACACGGTTCAGATAAAAGGGAAGCCTTGTTGGTGCTTCATCTGCAAAGAACTAGGAAAAAATATACCAACATTCAACATGACTTAGCCGAAAAGTTCCGTGTGTGTATACCAACGTTTAACATGACTTAGCCGAAAAGAAGTTCCATATGTGCAAGTACAATTAATGAAGTCATGAAGCAACATCTACCTGGCTATACCGGAAGTTCAAGATGAGGTGCTCAAGAGCAGAACGAGACTGGAAAAACTTTGCATAATCAAACGTCTCAGCCTCCATAGAAGAATTTTCACATATCAGAGATAATTTTGCCAGAAGAGGGACATTCTTTAAACAGATAGAACTTATGCTGCCTGTGAAATCAAAGGATCTCAACATTGGGGCATTGATTTCAGTGATGTTTAATGTTTTTCCGATTTTCAGCACCAACTTCTCAAGCAACGGACAATGAGATATTAAATGTCCAAGCAATTCAGAAGAAATAGTGACTTTACATAGTTCCAGGCTGATTAAACGATCAAATCCTTCACAGGCCGATGGATGATGATGCACTGTATAGATGCCTCAGCTGCGAACATATGAAAATTGAAGAAGGCAATCTGTATAGTTCATCTTTTCGCGGTGGAAGGTGAAGAACAAGATGTTGAATGTCTTTCCTAGACAGGAAAAATATGAAGTTGTCAATTCTAGGACATTCTTGCAGGTAAGTAATGTCGAGCTTAAACTTAGTAATGGGACCTTCATGATGGGTCAAAAGCTGGTAGACTATCTTTCTAAATTTAACTGTAGGGTAAAGCTTATCCTTTTGTGTGCTCCAAAGAGATTCATCAAACTTCCATCTTGCAAGTCTACACCAGTGATATTTCCATCTCCTTGATAAGACACTTGTCCTCACAGCATCTTTACAAGGCAAAAACATCAGAATGACATCAATAACATTATCATGAAGGTCGCTAAGGATGTCAGGAGGTAAACCTTGACAATGTTCTCTTCCCGTAGGAGGCATCATATAACAATAATCACCAAGAAGCTGTAGAAAATAAGCAATATTATTTATGAATGCATCTCCAAATTATATGGGCAAACTGACAAAATCTCTAAACAATCAGGACACAAAAGAAATAAAGATGCATTCTAGTTGAAATCAGTCAGTCATTTCCTATTAATATCACTGTTATATGGACAGATAATTAAGTTGTCTTGATCGAACCATATCGAAATAGAATGATGATGATAACGACGAGGATATATGGTGCAGATTCTTAAAAAAAACACGAAAAGTTAGTAGAAAAAATACACACTTCATCCACCTACAGTGAATATGAAACATTGCTTATTATCCACTAATATCATTCTTAAAGCCAGAGCACTTCCTAGCAATACTTCATAAAATACATTTGTGAATCCCAAATCTGTTTGCTACTTCTAAGTTACCATCAACTATCATACAAACAATAAAATATGGTCATTTCAAGATTTAACAGTCGAAAAACACACCTAAAGTATCACATTTTTGTAAGTTCCCTACCTGAACGATCAAGTGTTCACTCGTGAACTATCATCAACTATCTATCAAAACACACCCCAAATATCAGTTGTTCCCTTTTCCTACCGCAAATATTACCTTCTTTCAAGTACAAAAAAGAACAACGGATTATTGAAGCGTGTTTCGATAATTATTTGGTGATATTTGAGGTAAGAAACATGCACACCTAATAGTTCAGGTATGACACTCAAAAAAAAATGATCCACTCATATTATATATCATAAAATAAGCTTAAGAAGCTGTTTTCACCAGATTTTTGCAAGATTTAAAAACATCAAACTAGAATTAGCAAACCCTAGCATACAACATTGCAACATCAAACCAAAAAAATAAAGAGAATTACATTTTGAGCTCACCAAGAACTAGGATTATCTAGTATATCAAATACCCTTATCATTTTGCTTCATCTAGGTTTATCAACTGCAAAATTTGCTCATTTTAAGCAAAAAATACAGCATTAAAATCAGTTTTGCTAGATTTCGAACATCAAATTAGTAGCTTTACTACTATTTACATTTCCTAATCCTAAAGAACCTCAAAAGGGAAAGCAATGATTTTTTTCAAAAAAAAAAAGAAGAAGAAAAGTAATAGTAGATTTCGATACCCTTTAAAGTGCTTTGAATGTATGGATTCTTCAAATCTTCAATTTCAATCTAGGGTTTGTTCATCTCCCTCACAGTTGGAGAGAGGATTTGGTGAAAAAGCCATAAGAGTGAATTATAGTGTTTTTTATTTTTATTTTTCAAAAACATAGATAAATATACTATAATAAAAAAATATTTATCATTTATAATAATAATTTTTTTTCATTTAATTACTTTTAATTTATTTATAATACAAATTTAATACGTGTTACAAAAAACAATTTATTGTTCATATATATACAAGTTTTAATGATAGATTATGCATTTATCACATATTTTAATATATTTATAATATAATGTGATAATTTTTTACTAAACAAACATAATATATTTCAAAAATAATTATGGTACAAATATATCGAATACATAATTCACTTTTAATATATATTACAGATTTATTACAATATTACTACAAATGATTGTAAACAAAAAGTGTCGCTAAAATCAGTAATTATTTTTTAAAATGTATTTATTTATTTTTTTAGAAAAGAAGGAAAACAGAACACTAAAATGGTATTATTTGCATAAATAGCCTTTTTAAGTGCAATGTTTAAGTTTTGTCCTCATTTTTTATATTTGCACAAAATAACCCCAATTTTCAAGTTAACAACAAAAAGTCAATGTAATTACACAAGTAGAATTTAGGAGGATAAAATGTATGAAATGTTATAAAGAGACTTTTTTGAAAGAAAAAAAACACAGTTGGATGAATAGTGAAAAAGAGGCAGCAATAACAGAAACAACAAAAAATTATAAGATATCAAAGCGAAACAATAAGCAGAATATAGGGATAAGTATATAGAATGACAAGCTAATAATATAAAATAAATATAGTAGCTACCGCTTGATTTATTTGTGTTCCATAACAAACTGTTTGTCAGTCCATCTCTCCTTCTCTCGTTCGCTTCTTTCGCTCGCCTCTCTCGCTTTATACAATAAAATTGTATAAATTATGTTTTTAATTATATAAAGCGAGAGAAAATTATATGTACACATGCAAATACATATATCTCTTTCTTATACACTTATAATTATACAATAAAAGTACAACCTTGTTAAGTCTCTTTTGTCTTTCTCTCTTTCTTCTTTTATACAAATTCAAACTATATATAATTTCTCTCTTTCTCGTTTTATACAATTCAATTGTATATTCCCTGCCCATGTCTTTTTTGCCTTTATCCCTTTCTCATTTTATACAAATTCAAGTTGTATATAATTGTTCTGTATACTTATAATTATTTAGTTCGTTTTATATACTCGTCTTATACGATTCTCTGCCCAAGTCTCTTTCTCTTTCTCGTTTTATACAATTCGCTTCAATTGTGTATATATATATATAGCGAATTATACATATATATGCTTGCTATTGAGCGCAATTATGCAAACTTTGCTATAGCATACAAATATGAATTTTATGTTTGTTATATGTGAAAGTTGCCCTAGAATATAAATCTAAAAATAACGGAAAGAAAACTATGATACTATCTAAGCTTCTACCAATCCTCGATTTATACATTGTCCTATCGTATCCTCGGTGAGTTGAAATTGCAACATATCCCTACCTAATCACCTCACCTCACCTCACCTCGATACTTCTTAGGCCTACTTATACCCCTCCTCAAGCCTCTTATGGCCAAAATTTTCAAGCTTAATCACTTCACTTTTAATTCTGCCCCCACCCCCCTAACCAAACCCCAACTAGGTCTATTCTTTCACTTGTAACACAAGAAACTATATATACAAATATATATATGAAACAACAACATACATGTACTCTGATACGAAGTTCGGAGGGGAGGGGATAAGATGTACACAAACCTTAAGCAAGATACCAAATATAAAGAGCGCCTAGAAAAAAGACACTGTCGAACTTTGCAGTCATTCAGACATCTCTATGATTAAGAAAAGAAACATAACAATTGTTATGGTAAATGCCTAAAGGATATCACATTTAATCACAGTTCTTTGAAAATAAAGCACCATAGTGTAGATTCATATCCAGGTTTCATTTCATAGATCGTTCAAGAAAAAGGAATGAAGCGTATACCCTTAGCACTGTAATGATTACAAACAAGAATTTTGAATTTCAATTCTTCTTATCGATCTGGCAAAAATCAAGCAGATACTAGGGAGTCATGTCTCGATAATCTTCATATGCATCAGATACAACCACATTAGCTTTACTTGATGCCCGCTGAATTGTTGTTGCTGCTATTATCTTGTCTCTTCTTGCATCATAGTTATCACCACGCGATGGATCAATTAGCATTCTCACCAGCATCGGAGATTTGGTCAATAGAAGCTTGATAAGCTGCAATTCGACCTTTATGCCTTCTACTCCTCCAAGCTGAACTGTCCTAAGGTGATTCAATGTCACATCTGAAAAACTTGCGAGAACTTCATCAACTTCATTAGAAGCCTCAAGTTTTTCTAATATATAATACCTCAAGCAATATACCTAAGAAAGATAAAGAAATTAAGGAAGTCATCACTACACGTGAATAACACATACAGAAGAAAAAAGAAAAATATGAGTATCACTACTAACCTCCATTTCAATATCTTGTATGTATGGGGAGCTTTGTATCAAGCAAAGAGCAACGAAAAAATCAGCTAATCCACGCAGAGTTATGTTAAAACGTTTAAGATAGTTAAGAGGAGAGGAAAGTCTTCTTGGGATTTCAGCTGCAGTTGTAACCAAGAACTACAAAGAAAGTGCAAAAATCAGGATGACTCAAATTCCAAAGGATGGTACTTCAGTGGAAACGCATTACATTGAAGGTGTGAAGCAATATTTACCTGGTCACTTCCATTTGCCAAGTAGAGATGCTCAAGAGCAGAAAGTAACTGAAAAAATTTGTCAAAATCACATTTTTCTGATTCCTCAATAGATTTTTGGTGCGGAAGAGAAAGTTTAGAAAGAAGAGGAACACTCCTTAAAGAAATATATTTTATGCAGCCTGTGAAGTCAAAGGATCTCAAATTGGGAGCGTTTATTTGAAGGTGGTCTGCAGTATCTGAAATTTTCAACACCAACTTCTCTAGCAAGGGGCTACAAGAGATTAAACTTTCTAGTAGTTTGGAAGAAATAGTCACGTCACACAGATTCAGGCTATTTAACATATCAAATCCTTTGAAGGCTGGTGGAGGGCATATTACACAATTTTGGAGAGTCAAATGCCTCAACTGAGAACACGCGAAAAATGAAGGTGGCAATCTGTATCGGTTCCACTCCGAAAATTTAAGAACAAGATCCTGAATGTCATTCCTAGAGAGGAAATATATCAAACTGTTAATCTTAAGATATTTTCTCAGTGCAGAAATGGAGAGGGTAAACTTAGTAAGTGGTCCTGAATGAAGGGTCAAAATCTGGTACAGAATTTTTGTAAACTTAATAGAAGGGGATAGTAAGGCACGTGTCTCCTCCCAAAGTTCATCATCAAGTGTCAACTGTGGAAGGCTGCACCATTTATACCTCCATTTCTTCGATAAGATGCTTGTCATTAAAGCATCTTGCAAAGGCAAACGCATCAGGATGGAATTGATAACATTCTTTGGAAGGTTGCTTAGTCGATCAATAGATGACCTGTGACGACCACTCTTTCTTCTCTCAGGTGGCATCATACAGTGCCAATGGGAATCTGCAGAAAATAAACAAGAACAACAAAGGTATGTTATCACCAAATTATCTGCACGTAGCACACAGACAATAATCATCCAACTCCTCGTAAAACCAATGAATCGCAGTCTTTAAAGCAAGAATAACTTCCATAAATACTTCATGAATCCAGGGGATTATACAGATCTGTTATTGGAAAGGGAAAAATAATGGAAGAAAGATTTAGTGCTTACCAAGGAACAAGAAAGATCTATTTGTAAGTTCCAATTCTTCTACAAGGTTGTGTGTTTTATGTGGTTGGTGTCCAAAGGAGCATGTCTTATTCACAAGATAATTTGCAAAACGAGAGGCTAAAGGTTCTGCAAGAAATGTTATATGTGATGGACGCATCAAGACTATCAACCACGAACCACCTATTAGAGTGGCAGCTGTTCTATAGGATTAAGGCACAATCGTTGTACTATATCAATAATACTTACCATTTCAATAAAATAAAAAATAAGGATAGACATAAGTGAATAGCTCATTATGTTTAGTGGTAAAAATTGAAATAACTACCACCACTTAATAAACATGCATTTTTGTTTCAGGTTCCTGTCTACCATCATGTCTTTATGTCTATCAATCTATATGATTACCAAAAGACGTGAGCTGATGATTAATTGGAAACAACCTCTCCACCTCCCAGGGGGTAAAGTCTGCATACACACAACTCCCTCCACAGACCCCACTTGTGGGATTACACAGGATGTGTTGCTGCTGTATTTGATTACCAAAAGAGTGATTTGGACCCTATATAAAGAATGTCAAATTGTTCCAAACAGCCAACCTTATTTCAATTCATAGAGTGCGACTTTCATTAAATATTATCAAATTTTGCATTTGTAATATTGCCTTGGGTCTGCCTTCTATTCTTCCAAGTCTACCGACATAACCTGCCCACTAATACAGAACTTCCAAGAGAAGATTGGTAAATCCCACTAATAAAGAACTGCCTAAACATCTACCCTTCGGGTTGGGTCAGATGGTTTGGCTTGGGACTTCCATAATGGGGATCCAAGTTTGAAATCCTTTGCTTGCGACAACAAGGGGGTTTTCTTTTGGGTCGAGCTCATCGGTCATGGCTTGCCTAATGTGATTTACCTCTCTTGTGTGGTTTGCAGGCTATTGCATAGGAGTGAGGTTCACCCTGTGCACGTCCAAAGGATAACAACAGCAGTTTCCCTTGTCAACAACAACAAAAACAAAGAACTACCTAAACATCAATTCCAACAAGCATATAGTCTATCATATGAAAAATCCCCCCCCCCCCACCCCCATCCCCACCAACCATTACTAACAATAAGAACGTTAACAACACAGTGAAAACAATCTATCACTATGGATTTCAAGATTTCCACATACTTAAAGCAACCCCATCACAGAACCTGAGTAAAAAACACAATGAAAGCTGAACATTTCCCATCATACCTAATTTTATTGACTCACCTGGAATCTGAACCTTCAAAGAACACTTTTTTATGTAACTTTTATTGATTTAATGAACACATACATACATCCAAAAAGGAAACCAATAACTAAAAACAGAATCTTGAAACAGAATAAAATAATAGATATATACACTTAGTTTCAGGGACTGTAAGTTCATCCAAAAGGGAAAGTAATGATAAAAACACAGACAAATAACCAAAAAATAATGGAACAAAGATTTTAAAGCTTACCAAGGAACAAGATTACTTCTGAGTTCTGTGAAATGCTTCAGTTCTAGCTAGGGTAAATGAAAACCTCAAAATTAGTTTGTTTTTTTTTAACCTAGGTAATTTACTTTCATAATTCAGTTCTAGCCACATATTTTTTTTTCAAATTATTTTCAAGTGTAACGTAATTTTGAACCTTTTTAATTTCTAAAGTACATAGTACAAATTAAGGTATTTGCTATTAGATATTTAATCCCTCAGTTTCATAAAAAAATATTCTAATTTTCTTTTTAATTTGTTTAAAAAATAATGTTCTTTTTATTTTCATGATAATATTTTTGTTTTATCTTTTCACGTGACATGTTTAAGACCACAAGATTGAAAGGAGTTTTGATACATTTGACAAAATTTTAATTTAAAACCACAAAATTAAAAAGTCTTCTTTCATTTCTTAAACTCTGTTCCAATTCAAACTAGGTAATCCTTTTTTAAACAGAGGGAATATGATTTATCCTTTTCTAAACGCATAGTTAAAGCATTTAACAATAATTTAGGTGAATTTAGAGGCAATTTGAACTATCAAATATAAAAATATATAGCGGAAATGTTTGTCACCTCCCATCAACAATAAATTATCACACCAAAATTAGGATAAATGAAAAAAATCACGCAGTATTTTTTATCTCTACCTGAGTTTCAAACCTGAGACCTCGAAGTTCTCAACAACTTTATTAACAACTAGGACATAGGCAATTTCATTTACATTAAAGAATTAACCGACAATGACATTACGGATTTGGTAGATATAGGAGATTGGTTATAGATGAAACTTAAGGGATTTATGTGTAAATCACACATTGGGCTAAATATACCACCAATGTCTATTAATGTGCAAGTCACGTTGACAAGAGGGTTCCTCGGATGATAAGCATCCTCTACCTTAAAACTCTAAGGAATTCAAGCATCCTCCATCTCCAATCCTACGGTTGTGGATTGGAGTCATCAAAGAGAGCAAAAAGGTGAGAGCTTTTGGGGACGGGTTTAAAAAAACCGATATCTCATCCAATTCACGAAGAGAACTTCTGCTTCAGGTGATGCACGTGAATAATTTGATACCTCAGCAAATACTTTTAGTCTTGTGTCAAGATCTAGAAGACGTTGATCAATTAGCATTCTCTCCAACACCGGGGAATTGGCTAACAAAAGCTTGATAAGCTGCATCTCAGATGTTCTTCCATCAACGGCGTATACCCTAATTTCCCTGAGGTGACTAAATGTCACGTCTGACAGACCTTTAAGTTCATCGGATTCTTCAGTACCACTATCTTCATCTTCATGGAAAACCTGGGAAAGATAACAAAGAAGACATTTCTCAGGTTATTGAGGATCTAACAAGTACGAAAAAACACCACTAAATAAGAAAGAAGGGAAGAATCAGCACTACTAACATCAATTTCAAGATGTTCCAAGTACGGGAAACTTCTAAGCAAGTTAATAGACAATGAGAGCTCATATGCATCCACCAGCTCAAGTTCAAGCAGGTCAAACCGTTTGACACTGTTAAGATCAAAGGGAAGCCTTGGTGCTTCATATCCCTTTTGAGCAGATCCCTAGGAAAATATTAGCAAAATTCAAGATTATGTCAGCCCAAAAGAAATTCAATCCGCTAAAGTAACATAACAATGGAATCATGAAACAACATTTACCCAGTAACAAGAGATATTCAAGCTGAGGTACTTGATAGCAGAACAAGAATTGAAAACCTTTGCAAAATCAAGATCCTTTTTCATTATCTGCTCACCAGTCAGAGATACTTCTACCAGGAGAGGGACATTCTTTAGGCAGACAGAACTAATATTGCCTGTGAAATAAAACCGACTCAGCATGGGGGCATCAATTTCAATTGTGTCTAAAAGTTTTGGGATATGCAGCAGCAACAGCTCAAGCAACGGGCAATGAGATATAATACTCTCCAGCAAATCAGAAGAAATTGTTACTTCACACAGTTGGAGGCTAATTAACTTATCAAATCCTTCAAAGGCCCCTGGATGATGTATTGAGCAATTATCAAGACTTAGATGCCTCAGTTGCGAACATGTGAAAACTGACGTAGGCAATTTGCTATCCTCGGGAAGGTAAAGAACAAGACGTTCAATAGTATTCCTCAAGACGAAATATACGAAGCTGTCAATGTCAGGGCAGCTTTCTAGATCAGCAACATCGAGGGTAAAGTCAATCAGGGGTCCTTCAAGAAGGGTTGAAATCTGGGAGATAATCTCTGTAAACTTATCTGCAGGGTTCAGTAAATTGTTTTCCGTTCTCCAAAGAGACCTATTTAGTGTCAACTTTGTAAGTCGACACCAGTGATACCTCCACCTTTTAGATAAGATGCTTGTCCTCACAGCTTCTTCAGAAGGCAACCGTATCAGAATGCTATCGATTACATCATTAGGAAGGTCAGTGAGGACGTCAGGAGTTAAACTTTGACAAGGGTTTCTTTCATTAGGAGGCATAATTTACCAATAATCATCAAGAACCTGTAAGAAAAATAAGCAACAATACAAAGTAAGGGATCTCCAAATTATCTGGACAGAACTGCTATTCACATTTTTTGAGATAAAACAAGCAAAGAACTGCTATTCACATTGTCAAATCAACATAAGAACTAAAGGAACACTTCAAAAAATAATCACCAAGAACCTGTAGTAACTAAAGTCTAAACAATAATGCAAAGGGATCTCCAAACTATCTCGATAGAACCGCTATTCACAATGACAAATCTACATAGAAAATAAAGGTGCATTCTTGTTGAAATCAGTCAACTATGTCCTCGTAATATCTATGTTATATGGATATTCTAATGACTAATATGCCCTGAGATAATGGACATGAGGCACTGATGGCCTTATTTCCTGACCTATTCTTCTTGTGTACCAATCCGGAAGAAACAGTGGCTGAGGTATGGTCTATTCATGGATGGAATATTGTATTTAGAAGGCATTAAATGACCGGGAGATTGGGAGAGTGGCTGAGCTATTACGTGTTCTCAATGGGTTATCAGCAGAAAAAGATTCTATCATATTGAAACACTCTAGAGATGGAAGCCTTTCTGTTAACAAGCTATATATTAAGGAGATCATCCAGGTGGTAAGCTTGGCCCATGGAAACAGATTTGGAGGAACAAGGTGCCAACCAAGGTAAAGTGTTTCTCTTGGCTGGTTGCTAGAAGAGAAGAAAAAATCAGATCTTTGCAGGGTTATGTTGAACCATTTCCTCAACAATTACATAGAAAAATATACGTGACAAAGAATATTAAGAAATTATACTTGAAACACACGATAAAAAATGAACACACATAGAGAGGAGACTAAAGACCCCCAATTTTCAGTCCCCAAATTCCACAGCACATAGAAATACATATACACACATTGACTGGGAAAGAATTAGCCTCAATTTTCTGAAGAAGAAAACAAGAGAATGCTAAAAGGAAAGAAACCCTAGAGCCATGGTCTCAGATTCGAATCCCAAAATAGGCAAAAGAACCATCTGTCCTAGCATCCCGTGAAATTTGCCAAGGTGTGCGAAATGACGAAAGTTGGCCCGAACACCGTGATCATAAAAAAAAAACGAAAGAACCTGTACAAATTCAGCTACCATAAAAGCAATTAAAGTAGATTTGAAGCTTACCAACACTTGGGATTGATCTGAAATACCCTTGTCCTTTTTGTGTGCTTCAGCTGTTGAAGGAAAAGAGGAATTGAGACAGTGAGGGGTTTTATTTGGATGAAGGGGAAAAAGACAAGTGAAAATAGTGTGTATTATGTGTGGGGTGGGGGTGGGGGTGGGGTATTTCTATGTCCGGCCTATTGGCACACACTTACATGGACGCTTTATTCTGTCTCCACTTATGAAACACCATACCGGCACGCACAATAAGCATTGCGATGCGAAGAGCATTACTTGGAGAAATAGAAGAATCATGTACCACACGTGTAAAATCTGACGAAGTCCCACATGAATATTCTACCATATCAGACATTCATGTCGACTTCATCTGCCCTTGGTAAAGTAGTCCATATTTTGATAGAATAATTACAATGTGACTATGCTTGTTTTAATTTTATTTTAAAATTGAGGATAATAAATAACAAGTTGAATATTCTAATGTATAACAAAGAGGTGAGCCTTCCTCTTCACATTTTTTTCTCAGAGGCAGATAGTATTTTCCCCTTGTTGAGCTTTTATCACTTAGACAGCTAGTTAAGTTGTACACTAAGAAGTGGTTTTGCATTGATCTCTTTTGGTGATTAACAGAAGTAACTTAGTTTCCAAATCATTAATGTAATGACAATATCATTACAGAACAATCTAAATATATATTATTTCTATCTGCTCAATAAGCAAAAGAATGGAATGATCACTTATAACAAGAATCACCAAGAACCTGTAGAAAATAAATAACAATACGAAGTAGGGAATCTTCAAGCTATCTTGGACAGAACAGTTTTAAATCCACACAAGACATAAAGGTGCATTCTAGCTAGTTGCAATTAGATCGATCAGCTTCTATTTTGTGTTAACAAAAAAAGTATCCTCATTCCTTTGTGTTTCTAAGTATATAAACACAAAACCATAAGATGTGAACTACAACGGGAACTCAACTACTAACTTATACGACAAAAACAGTAAAAGATCACACAAAAGCAACAACATACAATTCAGATTTTGAGAGGAACAAAAGGGGCAAACTTTTTTTATGAGATGTGGTGAAGCCTGCCAATCCCAATATTAAGCATTGAATAGCTAAAATTGAGCATTATATTTTCAAGAACTCTTGGTAAAGGTTTTAGGAAATACTGTTCAAGGGTAAAATAGGAAAAAAGATTGTTTCTTGAAAGTAAATCTTTCCATAACTAAGATACAAACCCGAGATACTCAACCATTCCACCACAATGCATGTTGATCACTATAAGTTTGTCGGTAAATGGAAAGTCTTTCATTTCTTTCCCTACTCGTCATAAAAATAGGAAGACTAGCAAAAATATCTTCTTTTTTACTCTTCTTTTAAAAAAAATTATCTTGGACAGCATCATCACTTACAATAATTTTCCAAAATTTAGGATTTTGAAATCAACAAAAACTTTGATTAATATCACTTACTAATAAGTTTAATTGACTTCTGTTGCCAGGTAGTATTTACCAATCATGATTTGTCAGACTAGTAGATACCAGATCGACGGTTATAACAAAAAAAATTAATGATTCATTTCCTTATTTTCTTGCATTGTTAGTGAATTGTGATACTTAAAACTTTCAGAAACAAGAAATTAAGAGATTCAAGAAGGAATCCAGACCATGTAACTTTTTACCCATAACAGGGTGTATCTTCCATTACAAAATCAAGAGCAGGCACTGAAAGTAATTATCCTTAAACATGTATGACATTGTTATTACAGAACAAACTGATCAAAACATCCATCCAACAATGCTTAAGGCAAGGTAAAACACAGTGTTATAGACCCCTACTATATCAAAGTTTTAGTCTCTCTTTTGAATTTGTTAACTTCTAGCCCAAAGGTTGTGATCTAATTAATCAATGTAGACTACAACTGCTTTAGGTGATGCACAAATTTTTTTTTTGATACCTCAGCAAATATATTGACCTCGAGTCAAGAGGTAGAACACATGTATCAATTAGCATTCCCACCAACACCAGGGACATGGCTAAAAAAGCTTGACAAGTTGCATCGTGGTTCCTCCGAAGCATTCCAGCTTAACTTCCCTGAGGTGATTTAATGTCACATCTGAGAAACGTCCGAGTTCAAGGCATTCTAGAATACAATCATCCTCTTCATCTCCACAGTGAACCTAAGAAAGATAACAAGAAGTCGATTCTCAAATTATTGAGGATCTACGAAGTACGAAAATAATCAAAAAAAAAAGAAAGAAAGAGAAGAGTCAGCATTAATATTAATGAAGTCATCAAGCAATATTTACCTTGGACGCAAAGGAGGAAAAGAGAAGGTGCTCGAGAGCAGGACAACACTTGAAAAGCTTTGCAAAATTAAGATCCTCTGCTTTAATATAGTCACCGTACATCAATACTTTTACCAGAGGAGGGACATTCTTTAGGCAGACAGAACTTATATTGCCTGAGAGATAGAACAATCTCAACATGGGGACATTAATTTCAATTGTCTGACTTGTCTGCGATATCCAGCTCCAACTCCTCAAGCAACGGGCAATTAGATATTAAACTTTCCAGCAACTCAGAAGAAATATTGACTTCACATAAAATTCAGGCTAATTAAAGTATCAATCTTCAACTCTGTAAGTCTACACCAGTAATACCTCCATTTCTTTGATAAGATGCTTGTCCTCACAGCATCTTCACAAGGCAAGAGCAACAGAATGACATCGATTTATGTTATCAGGAAGGTAGTTAAGGGCATCGGGTAGTAGACTTCGACGATGCTTTACTGCCTTAGGAGGCACCATATAACAATAATCACCAAGAAGCAGTAGAAAATAAGCAATGATATGAAGTAAGGTATCTCCAGGTGGACATAACAACTATTCACATTGTCAAATCAACATAAGAACGAGAGGAACACTGTCAACATAATCACCAAGAACATGTAGTAACTAGACAATAACACGAAGTAAGGGATCTCCAAACTCTCTGGACAGACGGCTATTCACAATGCCAAATTAATATAGGAAATAAAAACTTGGTAATCTTAACCATAAATACCCATACGGTATGATAACAGTGTTGACATTTACCAATAAATAAATCCATGTATATCTATCTCTTGATATCCATTAATGGCATTCTTAACATGAACACCTTTCATCAATTCTTCATATATATATTGGTGGATTAACTACCACTGCGCCTCAAACCCAAACAAGTCGGGATTGGGTATATAAATCCTCACTGACTATGTCTCTACATTTAAACTCATCCCATGCCATCATTATGCCAAACAAAAATTGAAGTAAACAATAATGATAATGATCAAAAGCACACTTGAATATCACTTATTCGCGAGTTTTACACCCTTAACTATTAGGTGTTCCCTTTTCCTACCTTAACTGTTACCATTTATGTATTAAAACACACCTAGTTGTGTAGATGGTGATAATTCAAGAAGGAAAAAGGAACAACTGATAGTTGGTTTAAACAGCTTCGAGATGTGTTTTAAGACATAGATAGAATCATAGTGGTAGTTCATGTAGAAAAGGGAACAACCAATAGTTGGGGTGTGAAACTTGAGAAAAAGTTATAGTTTAGGTGTGTGTTATACCATTAACTATTAAAAAAAACAATATTACAAGTTCTCTGGCACATAAATCTATGATAATTTACAATGATACTCATTTTTTTCTTGATTTCGAGTTTATGTGAGATGACGATGAGAATGAGAAGAGACGCACTGGGAACATGACAGAGAGAGAGAGTAACTTTATAAAGTACATGCCAGAAAACTGAAGACCCTCAATTTTCACCCCCAAGTTCGACACGACATAGAAACACATATACACACAGTGAGTGGAAAAGAATTAGCCTCAATTTTCTGAAGAAATAAAGGGGAAGGCTGAAACACTCCTATAACAGTAAAGAGAAAGAGAGTGAATAGGTTAAAAATATCTTAAACTATCACCATTTTGCGAGTTCCTAACCAGAATTATTCGTCCCTCACAGAACCCTATGAACTACCATGGTTTCATATTAAAATACCCCAGGGCCAGGAGTAATATGACATGCTACACGAACACCACACTCCAAAGAGTTCTAAGTTGCAGTAGACGTGGAAAAAAAATCGAGGGAACATGTTAAACCCTTCCCTATGCCAACTTGCACTTAACTCGACTATGCCACCATGTACCTACTACTTCCCACCAGCACAAATATCTAGTTACTACACCCACCATCTAACTCTGCTGGAATTTGAACCATCCCAAAAACACTATTTTTGTAAGATTTTCAGGGCAAACATAAATAGATTCTTATGCTTTGAAACCAAAAACTACGTAAAGGAAGTAACTTTTATTGACTTAACAAACATATACAAATACCAAAAAGGGGACACATTAACCCATGGTCTCTTCATAAAACTAAATGGTGCACTTGGTTGAAAATGTTGAGTTATTTACCTAGACAAGTTGGGATCAATTCATGCTCAATACATTTTCTAAAAATCATAAATTCACCTCCAAGTCTTAAAAACAGAGTATTGAAACATAAGAAGATAAATACACTTATTTTCAGAGATTGTAAGTTCATCAAAGGAGGGAAATGATAACCAAATTATAGTGGAAAAAGATTTAAAGCTTACCAAGGAAGAAGATTGCTGATAATGGAATCAACCCTTTCTCTATTTGTAAACATCAAGAATTTTGTTCTAATCTAGGGCATGGGGCTTTGGAGGGAGATGGATTTGGGAAAGTACCTTAATTTTAACATTAAAAATTAAGGCTGGGCAATGGACCGGGTTGTACCAGTACCGGTCCGGTTCGATTACACGATGGAATGGGACACCGTAAATTGGTACACCGAATAGAACGGAATCACAATTTGATACTAGTGTATGGGTACCGGTTTATCCCGATTTATCGCGATTTCGGTCTGGCGAATTTCGATTAATTATTATTTATTAATTAATTTATATTATATATTTATAAATTATAATTTTTATTTTTATTTAATTTTTTAAAGTTACATATTCAAGTTAATTAGTTACAAGTTATAAATATAAAATTATAAATTATAACATATTAATAAGTAATAACTTATAAACTTTAAAAGATTTCAGTCTTGAAAACTTAATTAGACTTAACCTGCAAAATTAATAAGTAAACTTTTTTTATAAGCTATCTATAAAATAAACATAACTAAAAAGTTACATTATAAATTTAACAACTATCAATTAGAACTTTTAAAAAACAAAAAAATATATTTATTTTTTCGTAACTCAAAAAAACTTTTTTTGAAATAACTAGATGTGTCGTCCAGTTTATCACATCCGTTCCGTTCCATTCCGTTTTGGTTCCATCCCGGTATATAGTGGGATAGGACGAAATCGAGTATCCGTCCCGATAATTCCGATCCGATTCATCCTGTACTGGTCAACGAATCGGTCAACTCGTTCTGTTCCAGTCCAATACCGATTTGTGCCGGTTCGGTGATTCCATTCCAGTTTGTTCTAGTCTTAATTAAAATACGAGTGTCGGGTTGAAGTCATGGATATCTGTATTTTAAAAGGTAGGGGCATGAGGCGATTCATTTTATATGGTACGGTATGGGGCGAGGCGTAAGCTTTGAGACATAGGGCATAAGTCTCATGAATCTACGGGCCGTAATCTCGTAATCTCATGTATATTCAATTTTATAATCTTATTACCAATAAAATAATCAAAATTAAATTATTCAATAATTTTATAAATAATTTTTTATGAATAACCTATAATATATCAAAATTACATTATGATTTTTATTTGAAATAAGTATTATAATTAATAACGAAGAAAAAAAATAGTATAATTACTATTTGAGAATATCATTACACCAATAATAAAAAATATGATTTAAAGCAAAAAAATTCAAAAGAATAAATTTAAAAATCCCGGACCAACGTTTTTACACTGAAGACTTGTGTTTTTATGTTTGAGACTTACGCCTCAATTTCAAACTTATGTCTTATGATTCTACGTTTTTAATTTAAGTCCCAAAATATTTTTGGTACGTCTCGCTCTGAGACTCGCTCCAAAAATATTTTTAAAAACACTGATTGATACAATAACGGTGAAAGAATAAGGCAGAACGAAAAAAAATATATTTTAATTTAGCCTTCTCAAATAGTGTGTGAGGTGAATAGAGATTAAAAGAAAAATGAAATAGGGGGGGGGGGGGGAGTAGAAGTAATGTAGGGGCATATTTGGATCTATTTAATTGTTTTTGAAGGGTATATTTGTACTTTCAGATAAAAAACGTAACCAAAATTATTTTGATATCTTATTTTTCTATTTGAATTATTATTAATTGTTTATCAAAACGCACTTCAATTTCATTATTTTCTTTTCCTACTAGAAAAGTTCACATAAGAGGCAACTATATTCGATTTTGTATTGACAAATTTCACATTTCAAAGTGAAATGTTTACTAGAGATAACACTTCACATCTAAATATGGTGTGGAGAATCATAGCTAACAACTGGTACTCAATCATTGTCAATGGTAAGTGACATGGTTTTTTTCACTCCACTAGAGGCCTCAAACAAGGTGATCCCCTTTCTCCAATCCTATTTATTTTAGGTGCGGAGGTGTTATCAAGATCTCTTAACAGGCTCCATAATCATCCGGACTACCATGGCTTTATCATGGAAAGGAGGGGGCCACGGGTGAACCATTTGAGCTTTGCTGATGATATCATTTTGTTCACTTCGGGGAGATGCAGAACCTTGAAGATTCTTATGAATATCTTAAAGGAGTATGAGAATACTTCTGGACAGCTCATCAATGGTGATAAGAGTCACTTTATGCTACACTCTAATGCTTTCACTAGCACTAGAGATAGAATAAAGAGACTTACAGGTTTTAAACAAAAAACAGGGTCCAATTACCTACCTAGGCTGCCCTTTATTTGTCGGTAGGCCTAGGAACATTTATTTTTCTGACCTTGTTAATAAAGTTGTTGGCAGGATCTCAGGGTGGCAAACCAAACAACTGAGTTATGGGGGCAAGGCAATTCTTACAAAGCATGTGCTACAAGCTCTCCCTATCCATCTACTTTCTGCAATAACTCCCCCAAAGACTATTCTTAAGCAAATTCAAATGCTTATGGCTGATTTTTTCTGGGAGTGAAATAGTGACAGGAAGAAATATCATTGGGCTTCTTGGAGGAACCTAAGCTTCCCTTATGATGAGGGAGGAATAGGTAGGAGGAACTGTTTTATCGAAAAAGGATATTTTCGAAAAAAGTTTATTTTCGACTTTTGGGAGTCGCCACTTAATTTTGAGAAAATTAAGAAAACTTGATTTCAAATAATTAAACAGAAAATTGTTTGAAAACTTTTAAGGGTTCGGGATTCCTATTAATGTCTTAGGAAGGTGTTAGGCACCTAAGACACTCCGCTAACTTACGGTTATCCGGCGATTAACTTATTTGACTATTATTTATTTTAACTTTGCAATTTTGAAATCATTAAACTTATGAGAAATTTACTTAGGCGAATTTTCAGATTTTAAAGCTCTTTAAATTCAAACTAACTTAGAATTTGAATTTTGAACATGTTAGAGTTTTAAACAACTTACGAGTTGAAATATTTATCGTTTTGAGATTCCATTTTAGTTTTGAGATTTGATAAAATAGAAGGCGCTTCGAAGGGGGTTTGGAGTTTTCTAATCTTAAGCTAACGACATTCAAAATAAAACGTAAACAAGTAGCAAAGAGAGATATAGAGAGAGAGGGAGAGAGA